TCTCGTGGCAAAGAGTGAATTTTTCCACATATTATTATTATTATTATTATTATTTTCAGGCAAAGAGTGGATATTTCCACATTAAAATGAATTAATTTTCCTTATGTTTTTCATTGTTAAACATTCTATTTTTTGTGTGGTAGTGACACAAATGTCTTTGTTGAACTGGCAGTGAGAAAGTTCTTCTGCTTGAAGGGTAATAAACAATTAAGATTGGTCCCAGAAAGAGTGAGGAAAGATATCTGTATTCCTATCTTTTAATGACCCCTGTATGTTCTTAGATCTATTTCCATTTTTTTATTGTGTGTTTTTGTTACTGTGCATATGTATTTGTGTATACTCCCTCTCCATATATATATATATATATATATATATATACACTAAACTTTGCATGGTACCATATTAGGTCAGAAGAAGAAAAGTAGGAATCTGCTGTTCAGAAAATTGACATGGGAAATTCAGCCATTTTATTTGGGCATAAACACTAACAGGAAATAACATAATTCTTTAAAATGGGTTATATAAGAATCAATGGAAAAGTATGTCCAAGATATGGTGCACTTTCATGTTCCCTTTCAGCAAAATATGCACAAGAACTGTAAACTATTCTTATAATAGGTATTAAGATTCAAATATCCCACTTGTATTTCTTCTATTTATCATTCCAGTATCATCTGAATAATTAAGGGGAGTTATATGAAAAGATTTTTAAATTTTTATGTACCAAAACAATATTAGGAAAATTAATGACAAAGTGGAAAAAATTTCTGTATGCTGCGTTTCGTCCTTTAGGGCTTCATTGGACTAAAGTGATGTATTTTTAATGCAACTATACATACACATAAAATTTTTTTTTCTTAAAACATTGTAGGTTTCTTGACAGATCTATTATCACAATATGAAATACTTAGTGATAAAAACTTAAAGAAAAAGAAACTAAATGAAATTGGCTAGACTATATATCCAAACACAAATAAAAACAAATTAATTTAAAAGTTCAAAATTTCTGCATCCTCTCTCCTTCATGCAGATGTCTAGTTACATTAACAAAAGTATCACTTTAATCCAGTGAAGCACTAAATGATGAAATGCATCCCACAAAAAGTTTTCCCACTTTGTCATTAATTTTCCTATCTTATATATTTTGTACATGTTGTATGCACACACAAGTGGGTGCTGAAAAATTCTAGGCTTAATCAAGATAGGAAACTAAAATAAATTTTAATGTTTTTAAAAAGGTTCAGGCTGAAGATTTTTACCACCTTCATATAGCAATTTTAACAAGTTATGTTTTTTACTTTTTTTTTTTTTTTTTTTTAACATTCTAAAATTATTACTATATTTTGGCGGATATAGAATACCTCCTTTAATAAGACTTTGTCACCTAGACCAATGGACAGTAATTTGACTGTTAACTGTATTTCCATTCAAACATATCCACTAAATATTTATAAGTAATAAAAATATAATTCTGAATTGTTAGTGAAGCTTTTATATATAAAATTATTAAGAAAATAAACTGAACTTGATAAAACTTTGGTCATATTTTTTACCATATAAGGCATTTATTTATTTATTTATATATTTAAATTTATTTTCCTTAACTCCACCCCCCAAATCATATTGCCTGAAGTTTAGATTTTCAATAATAAAACCAAAACACCTTTTTTTGACACACTTCTCTCCAGATGAGTCCAAAATGAAATATATACATGATTATAAATTATGATTACAGATCAATATAATATAAAAAAAAAAAAATCTCAGTATAGATGAAGAGTCATTTGAAAACTTCTTGGCAAATTAAGTGCATGTGTTTTATGTAGTTTTGAAATACAGGTGTTTTTTTTGTTTTTTTTTTTATTCTATAAATAACTTACGTCTCTGTCTGTCTAATATATATATATATGTCATAAATATAGCCTCTATCTCTAATGCAATCAAATTGAGTTGTTAGTATGAAATTCCTACAGAATAAATGTAATCACTTTGTGTCAACGAATTCACTTCAGCTGCTACTTTTCTAGTTAAAACCAAAAAGAAATCTTTGCATTTTTGTAGATGAATATTGTAATATTTTCTTACTCTGTATTTATTTTCAGAACTACAGTCGTGCTTCCACCACAATACACACCAGAATAAGTGTTGGTGGGGGATCACGTGTATCTTAGATGCCTGTATATTGTTGAAAGCCTGTACAGTTTATTTAAAAAAGTTTTACGTACACACCATAGCATTTATCTACATTCCTACATAAAATTCTATACTTTTTAAAAAAAAATAGATGAAAGTCTCACTCACCTTGAAAAAGATTTTCGGGACTAATAAATTTCAGGCTCACTAACTTATCTCTCTCTTTCATTTCCATCTCTTCCTCCCTTGCTCTCTTTCATTTCTCTTTGCTTTCTTACTTGCTCTTTAACTTTCTACCTTCACACTTTGTTTCTCCTTTCCCTTCTCTCCCTTGTTTCTCTTTATTCAACTATATGGAAATGGCTAGGTAGTTAATTTGTATTTTTTGTGAAGGAGAGAGAAAGAGTGAGACTTTTATGGAGTGCACAGTTACTACACTGATCTTAAGTAGAAGTTCTAACCTGTGCATAAATAATATTTTTTGATGGGTGCTATACTAGTTTTCTATTATTTCACTAAAACTATTTATATTCTCTGATAAACTCAGAAGCTATGATCAACTAGTTTAACCACTATTTACACTGTTCAGTCTATCGTCCTCATCTTTATTGACATATTCACAATGTTTCGGCTGTTGTATGCTAAGCCTTCTTCAGATGATTGGAATTTCAAGCTGAACCCTTTATTTCATCAGCTGGGGTAGGTGGATAAGGGTTGATTGGTTCCAGTGACTTGAACCAAAGAGTTGTGAGTTCAATACCTGGCTACTGCAGTGGTGAACAAAAATCTTGGAGTGTTGAGTTAAAGGGGGATAACTGAGACATCCAGAAGAGGCATGGCACATGGAACCAGAACAATCTACCCCAATGATTGAAATAAAGAGTTCAGTTTGAAATTCCAATCACCTGAAGAAGGCTGGAGTGTACAACAGCCAAAATGTCATGAAGGTGGCAATAAAGATGAGGACAACAGTCTGAACAATGTAAATAATGTAAATAATTACAATATTAATATAATATTATATATTACCTCATCTCAGAAATATTGACAGATAGTTTAGCCACATCCACTATAGAAACTCAGTTAATGTAGGCAAATCTATCAAGACTGTCTTACTGGATAGTTACCGGTCTTTTTGGTGTTATACATGTCCAACATACATACACAAAGACAAATACTTTTCTTGTTTATTGACTATTATATACCAAATTTAAAAGATCTTTGCTAGAAATGTGAAACACTTGACAGGAAGTTGCACAATGTTTTTTTTTTTTTTTTTTTTTAATCACTTAGTTTTTTATAAGTTTGAATGACTTGAAGTATAAAATGGTTTCTTTTCTAAAGAAAGATAAAAAAATAGAAAACAAGATTCTTTATTTCTTGGCAGTGGCTTGCAGACGTTTGGTGATGCCTGGGGCCAACTTCTTGATTGTATGCCCCTAAGACTCAAGTAGTGTGGCATGTAGGGCCTCATACTGAGAAATGTGAGAGAGGAAGACATTTTAAATATGTAAAAACAGATGAAACATGAAATAAAGACTTTATTGAAATTAAATATAAACTAAATTTTTATTTTGCTCTTTGATTGGATGCCCTTCTAACATGGATGACTGGGGCCATCGCACCCTCTGTCTCCCCACTTCAAATAACAGATTCTCTAAATTTTGGGTAACACCTAATATCAATAATTTCTTTGCCATGCCCCTTATGAACATAGCTGATCATGGCTCTTCACAAATAATTTCTTTGCCATGCCCCTTATGAACATAGCTAATCATGGCTCTTCACAGTTTCCTTTTTCTTTATTTGTGAGTTGTCATGACTTCTTGGGAAATATAGTGGAGTGGTTTCCTGTTGCTTTCTCCATTGCTCTGAATTCAGATTAATCAATCTTTTAAATAGGTTGCCATCCAAGGTTAGAGAGTCCACTATTTAGTCTATAGTTGGGTCACCATCCTGGGTATGATGATAAACTACATCCGTGTCCTGGGTAAGACGATAAATTATGTCCAACAGCAAGGCCTCTGATCAGGAGGTTTTGAGGATCATGAAACCATCTCTTAATTGCTGGCGTTCCCAGGTCCACCTTGACCCGGGGGGGGGGGGTTTAGCATCTGTTAGGGTCCCAGTTATGGGCAAATAGCTGACACCCAAACTTGTGTAAAAATAGGTTTTAATACCAGAAATACTTTGTAATACAAAAATATATATTGCCAGCAATAATTTTTGAAGGAAAAATTATTATCAGCAATACTTAAAAAAACAAAAAAACAAAAACAAAACTACTAGCAATACAAACAGCTATACATTCTTTGAAAAAAATATTACCAGCTATAGATTTCTTCAAGGAAAAATATTCCCAGAAATAGATTTTTGAAGAAAAACATACCAGAAATAAAAATTTTGTCAGCATTAAATAACCCATTGACGTTGATATGATGTAAAACAAACCAAACCAAAACTATAGTTGAATCAGTAATCAGTTATTACATTACTGAAAATTTTCTAAGTGATTGCTCTATTAAGGCTAGAGTCTAGGCTACCCTATTATTTACAAAGGTTTGAATTGAGTTTTCCTTTAAGACTGGTTGCCTATCAAGGCAGAGACCCGTGTGTCTTGCTATTTAACTTATAACCAGTGGGAGATGGATTCACGCCTTTTTTCAAGGATATTAGTATGAATTGAGTAAAATACTTAGTAAGAATTTAGACTGTACATATCAATTCCACTACCTTTCCCAATAACCATTACACTACCTGCACGTTGACGAAAACTAACAAAATGAAATTAATGTTTGTAAAACTTGATTTGTTAGGCAAAAAGACCAATTGCTGCTGAAGTAGTTAAAGTTACTGCATGTCACTAAATATTGTACTACTTAATCTATCCTACATACTTATAAGTTTACCATTCATCCTTGCTTTGTATATTGCTGCCACATCTGGTCTGGTGCTCCTGTTCTATAAAGATTCTTGAAAAAAATCAAAAGAAGAATCTGCAATGTTATTGGTCCTGACCTGACACCAATTAATTTCTCACCACTGTAATGTAGCTTTACTGTAACTTTTCTATAAATATTTTCATGGTAATTGTTCTGATGAGCTTTCTACTTTGGAACCTAAACTTTATGAATTCAAGTGCAGTACTAGATTGGCAGCTATGTCTCATCATTTTATAGCTGAAGTGGTTAGATGTAACTAAGTTCTCTGCTAACAGTTTCTTCTCTCACACTTCTCGCTTGTGGAACTCTCTTCCAGCTTTTTGCTTCCCAGTCAACTTTGATCTTCAAAAATTTAAATGCACTGTCAATCGTTATTTCCTGTCTTAATTATTGTTCTTTTATTGTTCTCTCTACTTAATGGTGTTTTTTTTCATATTCTTTGCCATACTCAATAACCCCTGGCTTCTCGGTGGCTTTATTGCCTCGCTTGAGGTGAAATGACTGAAAAAAACAACCTTAGTTCATAAGCAATGATATTTTAGTAAACCTTTAGTTTTATATAAATGGAAAAAAGTACAATATTTTTTTAATTAAAGTTTTTAATATAGATTAAAAGTAGAAATATTATTCACAGTTCTCTAAACAAAAATTACCATGTATTTATGCAAAGAAATGATGTTTTTTTTTTTTTATATATGTATGTATGTGTGGGTGTATATTTATTCATATGAGTGTGACCTTTTTAAATTTTCCTCTTTTAATCTGTAATGTTATGTGATTCCATCCATTGAAATATTTTTTATGTTAACCTACAACACAAGGTATTTTTTACCCTGTTGTTTTATTTATTTTAATATTGCCTAAAAGAGGAAGGCTAACAGGCAGTTCTTCAGTCATTGAAAGCCAGGTCAAATAAGAGTGCGTGATTTTGTGAGGTAGCCAGAGTAGGAGAGATGTGGGGGTAGATAGGAGTGGTTAGAGGTTGATAACCGATTAAAACAGGTGATGCATATCATTGAATCTGCTTAAGTATATGCACACTTTAACATTTGCAATACAAACATTAATACAAACCCGAGGTGACAGTCCAGAAACAAGACAAGATCATTTGTAACATTTAACCTTTCTATTATAGTGTTACCTCTACTATTTTCACTTACAGTCTGTGTATTACTTTCACTTTCATTTTGTGTATTACTTTCACAAGTAAGGGATGGGTCACATGTATAGCATTTGCATCTGTTGTTGTTGTTGTTATTATTATTATTATTATAGTAGTAGAACAAAGAATTAGCTTATGTCATTAAATGATAGATGTAAAGATTTTCAGTTTAAAACTGTACACTAATTCTTAACACAATGTAATTGTAATTCTGTTTTTCTCAAGGATTTGATACAGGAAAAGCACTTAGAATTGTTTTTGCAAATCCCATTTTATCAGTGAAAAGTTATATATGAACACACTTTTTATACTTGTAATGACTGTCATGTATTTTTTTTCTGTGAACAAGAATACATTACTTAGCTGTTTTGTTCTCATCAGTATGTTTAAATTTTGTAACTTGTTATTTTTGCAATAGAAATTAGTATTTTGCTTTTACTATTATAACAAATAAATTCTGAGGAAGAACAGAATTTCATTTATGCAAATATCTTTATAGTTACATTATCGTTATTTTGGATAAATCTAAATACAATATGTATTATTATAACTATGACTCCTACATTGTTTAATATATGTTGGGAAAGGTCAGGTGACAACAAATCTCTTCAAAACACCAGCATTTTTATTCTAAGAAACGTTATGCAATATGAAGTGGGTGCTGAAAATTTCTTGGTCCAACCAAGAAGGAATACAAAAATAATTTCTGATGCTTACTGATTTGGTAACATGTTAAGATGTGAATTATTCCAAGAAATTTTTAGTATGAATCTAGAACAAGTTATTGTTGAAATTATTTTAGTTTTTTTATTGCATTTAATTGTTTTTTTTTTCTGTTCTCATTTTTTAGAGGGTTTTAGAATTTTATGAATTTTATAATTTACTATTTTTATATCATATGTATGTATTTAATGCATGTATATGATTGTGTATCCAAACAAGTTTGATTTAAAAAAAAAAAAAAATGCACTGACAAGATCTACCAGTTTAATTTTTTTTTTTTATTGTATTTTTCCAATTTTCGGATAAAATATATATATATATATATATATATATATATATATATATATATATATATATTTATATATATATAAATTTCAAGCTTTTATGAAACAGATCTAAAAATAGTTGATAGTGCTTAAATCTGAAAATGTAGTTTAAAACAAGATCCACAGTATGAATGGGTGTATTCATGTGAATCTCTCTCTCTCTCTCTCTCTCTCCCCCTATCTCCCCGGTTGTTGTACTCTATGCCTGTTCTAG